GCTGGACATGCACGAGGAGCTGTGGGAGCCCAGCCTGACCAACAGCGAGTGGCCAGAGAGGCTGCTCGCAGTGGAAGTCTCTGAGGTTACTGTCCTCTTGAAACATCTAATCAGTTCACAGAGGGTTCAGAGAAAGTTCAGGGGACAAAGCATCTGTACAAGTTGAACTGCTCGTTTGTTTGTTTGTTCTTTTACCAAAGTGTGAAATGGTGTGTGGTTTTTATCTTATGAGATGTCAACTTTGTCCAACTCCAGATAAGAGCTGAACGGTACCTCACAGCGGAGCAGAAAGAAGAGGAGGAGAGGAGAAAGCTGGAAGAGGAACGTCGTTTGGCTGCCCAAGTATGCTGCCACAAAACAAAAAAAATATGTTTTTGTTTTTTGGTTTTTACGTGTTAAAATACTTCCATAAAGGATGATTGCTTCGATGGTGAGGATAGCTCAGTTCTGCCATGTTAATGGGTTTGTTGTTCTATTGTTCAATTGCAGGCTGATGATTCTAGAGAAAGGGCTCTTGATGACATGATGGATGGAGTACTTGAAGTGAAAAAAGAGGACATCTTGAAAATGGTGACCATCAAAACATTTTTTTAAGACATTAATGCTGAAGTAGACCAGTAGACAGCAGAACACAGTATGAAATATTATCTACTCACTTCTTTGATCAATCTGTTAATTTTGAGATTGTCTCCAAATGCAGAATACAATTAAATATAAAATAGAGTTTTATGTTAAATGAACTGGTACTTATGAAGTGCCCTTCTCCTCTTAAGCCCGATTCAACCGGGCTTAAGGGGAGAAAAAAAACCAGTATAGTTATAAATAGAACAGTAATAAACACACACACATTCATATAGCACTTTATTCTGTGCCTTTGAAAATCATGCTTCAGCACCTTGACTATTGCCGCTTTGACATGCAGACAAGAGGAGCCAGGAATTGAAACACTGACTTTTTAATTGTTAGATGATCTGCTCTCAAGTGGGAAGACGGGGGTTCAGGGGTATATGGTTGAATAAGACATTTGAATGCTGTTGTAGAATGTAATTCAATTTAAAAAACAGAAAACCAAACCAAAACAGTCTTTTAAGTGAGAAGATAATATAAATAAATACAGCATGATGTACTTAGCTATTTAAAACTATACTGTTTTTTAATTACTGGTAGTTATAGATAATAATGTATTCTGTAATTAGATAATATAACATATTAGAAAGCTGGTCCACATCTCATGTCTTTGTTTCATATTACATACAGTCTAGCCAGATGAACCACGTGTGTGTGTGTGTTAATGGTGTCGCAGGATTTCTTTCTTTTTTTTTTAAACTTGAATTCTTTTCTAAGCAGCGTCAGTTAAATTAGACAAATGAGCAAGAAGGGCACATAGTTTCTATTGAATTTACTCCACAGGAAATACCTCTGCCTGAGTTTGTTTTGACCAAACCTGACATTCAGTGGAGTGAGGAGGAGAAAAAAGTTTTCAAAGAGTATGAAAAGAAAGCCAGGGAGCTCAGCGAGGAGAAGGAGAAGTACAAAAAGGTATTACATAAGATGCTCTTTTTGCACTGATCTGAATTATAATTCACTCCTGATGTGAATGGTAACAGTCTGTGGCCTGTGTTGTTGCAGCTACTGGAAATTGAAATAAAAAAGCTTCACCAGTCCACCAAGGAAGCGACCGAAAGGTTTGATGAAAATCTGGCAAAGCTGTTAGAGAAGAAAGTGAACTGCACAGTAGCTATATACCAGGTAAGCCCTCTCTTCTCATTTGCCCCTTGCGATGTCTTTTATAACATCCTGCTTAAAATTGGTTTCGGTGTATCTAACAGGAAGAGCTCAAGATCACATATCTCGTTGAGTCAGTCCTCAGAGAAGAAGAGATGAGAAGCCAAGAGCAGGAGCTCAAGCTCCAACTTGAAAAAATGTTGGCATACAAGGTCAGAAAACTGGTGCACAGTAATGCTGTAGGAATTTATGAGTGCCAGCTTCACACTCTGTTCTTTGTGAGAAATGGCAGCAACATCATCCAAAACTGTAGAACAAAACCTTCTCTTCGTTCAGGCATGTTTTTTTAAGAGCTAACCTGTGTGGCACACTCATTTTGTAGGCTTCAAGATTGCTTATCGCTAATTTCCATACATGCTCGTCTCCTCTAAAATTGGTTCCTCTGACAGGATGAAACTGGGGAGAGGTTGAAGAAGCTGGAAGACGAAGTAGAGTTGTTACAGGAGACGTATGACAATGTTGTCCTTGAAGACAAAGTAAGCCAGCTGATTAAATACTAAAATCATGGCTGAGAGAGATGGCAAACATAACACAATATAGTAACCTAACGTCTGTGTCTCTGAAGTCGCTGGATAAAGACTTCAGGAGGGCATTTTCAGACCTTCCGAGCCATATGGTCGATTGCCTCTATAAGATGTTCAAACGCAGACCCAGGTTTGTTTCCTGATTGATGGCTGCGCATGAAGAAAATTACATAATTTGAGTTGTAAACTGTTTATTGTTTTTTGTGGGCAAATTTTCACCCCACAGGGCTCAGAAGATGAGGGCCCAGATGGACAACAGCAACAATTCTGACCCGTTTAAAGAGCATCGTCTGTGTGGTTCTCAGGCCCCTGATGCATTCAGCCAAATGCTCAGAGCCATGGACGAACTGGACGCTCCAGCGAACATACCAGAGGGCTTGAGCACAGTAGCCTGGGAGAAATTCTGTCACGTTCGCAGAACTAAAGTAGAGAGCGAGCAAAAGGTATGACGACGAGGAGAGGTTAAATATGGAGGAGAGTTGCTGTTCCATTAAGATATGCATAAATGTGCACAATATCTTACTCCGGCTCAACTTATGAATAGATGTAAAAAACAACTATTTCCATTCTGTGCTTGCAGTTATGCACTCACTGCTGGACACGTCTTTTTTAGGTAAAAACAAAAGCTTTGACTCTCGCTGAGATGCAGGCGTTCCTGCAGAAGAAGAGAAATGAGGATAAAGCTGCTCAAGAGGAAATTAAAAATCTTTCTAAAGCGCTTGAAAGGTATAAATCAGATTTTTCACTCTGATTCCAAGCAGTTGTAAAACAAGCCTTAAACTTAATGACTAGTGTAAGTACATTAAATCTATTTTTTAATGGAAGAATGACCCGTGAGTGCTTTTTCCCCCCCCTTCTGCTGTAGTCTGCACCGGAGGAGGACTGATCTCCTGATGGACACCATGGTCCAGATAATACTTAAACAGGGACAGGTGGAGGTGACTACCACAGACCCAACTGCTGACAACGCAGACACCGACTTCATTCTTTACCACAGGAGCGTCGTGGACAACCTGAGAAATGTCATCAGGGTCAGCCTTTTCCTACTCTCATCACAAAGAATTTGATTTGATTCAAACCAAATTGGTCAAATTCAGGTGGTTATGGTGTCGTTGCCTGCTACTGATTATTATCGCTATGCTCAGACACTTGCAGAGCAGAAAATTACATCCATGGTGGCGTGCAAAGACGTGCGTAAGGGCATGATCCAGGTGGAATGGGAGAACAAGGTGATGAGGAAGCAAATAGAAGACCTCTACGACAAGGAGAAGAATATCAAGATGCTACGACTCTCAGAGGAGCAGCAGAAAATGACAGTAATGTAGATTCTAAAATATGCTAACACTGCCTCTTTTTAAATGTTTTATTCTAAACTAAACTGAGACAGTGAATAGGCATTACGCTGTATAATTCCAACTTATGAAAACGTTCAACATCTGCTTAAAATAATAACAAAATGTCTGCGTTTGGGGTTAAACATTAATCCCATTTGCATTTCTGGCCAAACCTCAGGCGGTGATATGAAGGCAGGTATTTGGCAGCATCACATGTTTTGCGGGCAGCAAATTGTTACCATCCTCCAGCACAGATGGATGATCTTTTATTGAAGACACACACCCTATTCACGCCAGCTCCCCACCCTGTTTTTTTCCCTTTTTCAGCTCTTAAAACTCTTACTCAATAGGCGGAGACTGGTTGGAAGATTATCCTGTCCTTCCGTTCTTTTTAAAAAAAATACGTTTTACTTTGTTTACAACCTAATTCGCATTGAACACGAGTAATATCACAAGTTAGAGCGCTGCAGTTGAGAAATAAAAAATACAGATCAAATGAGTCATCCGTCATCTTATTTTTAACAAGTCAATGAGCATCGCATGTGTTTCCAGGCCTGAATGCCAGCTTCCGTTGGAAAAAAAAACTTCAGGTAGATCTTTGGTGGCCATTTCCTGCCATTGTTCAAGCCCATGAAACCAACCAACTAAATCCAAAGTTTTATGATGACGGTGTTTTACTTCAACTGTTGTTGGATGCTGATTTTCTGTTCTTTCACTGCACACTCTTTTCTTTTCAGCATCGCAGCAAGTCAGATCAAGAAAGTCACACATCCAAGCAGATTTCCAGTTTGGAGAAAAGTATTGCCTTGATGGAAATGGTAATAAAACAGTAGCTACATGTGTGTAATTTGTGCAGCTGACTGTTCAGATAAAATGTGCTTTTTTCTTTTCAATTTTATGCAATTATGCAAATGCAATTATTTTCAATTTCAGACTCATAAGAAGAGTGTGCAGCAACGCTTAAGAAAGATTGAACAATTAAATAAGCGGGCAGCAGCAAAAACTAAAAAGAGCGCCGATTTAGAACAGCAGCTCCCTGAAATGCAGGTCACCGTGTCAGAGTTGAGACACATCTGCGAAGCAGCAGGTAACGAAAACAGCCATTTCAGCTCTAATTAAACACAATGCAAATGGGAGTTTTCTTCATCTTCTAGCATGTTTGGTATTTAGCTATGGCAGAAAATGAGGCTGCTGCACGAGAAGAGCGCTACCAGGAAATCGTTAAGAGGAGCAAGTTGAAGGAACTCGCCAGAGCTCAGGCAGAGAACCTGGCTTTCCTTGGGGCAGAAGTTGAGCGTCTCACCATGAAGAACTTTCCTTCGCTTGATCAACTGAAACACTAATGAGCAAAGCTTTCTTCTTCAACAGATTTTTACGGTTTTATTTAAGCTTCTCTCAGCAGATAAATTGAACATAAAGTGTACAACTTGAACTGTAGCAGCAACAAATTAAACAATAAACAGGACATCTGAAATATGATTGTTCCCCTGTAACATTTTATTAGGTAGTGAAGTCGTCCTCTGTGCGGTCAAAGTGCAGAATGCTGTCATCCAAATTGAACAGGTCAATCAGCTCAGACAAGCTGGCTTTTCGTCCATCAATAGGGACTTCTGATTGCAGTTCATATAGCGCAGCTTGAGCACAATGCCGCCACTTATCAATCAATGTTTGGAGATGAGTCAAATCATTCTGTGGGAGAAAGATGGGAGAACCTGTCGTGAGAAATTGCCAGCTTTGGTTTAAGTAACCAAAAACATATCTCATTATGTTCCATTTAAATGTCGCCAATACCTTGCTTCTGTACATTTTAACCATCTTGAGTCTACGTAGAGTCTCTGTTTTGTCTTTCACCTCCTTCCTGAGACGTTGTGCAAAGTCTCCTGAAGGATATTGTGTTGATTTGGGAGCAGGCCCAGACAACGTTTTACTCCCTTCTCTCTCCCCATTTCTGTTTACATCAACACTGCTTAGAACCACTGGAGGATTATTAACGGGTTGCTGGGAATCTGCTGAAACTTGTTGGCCATTCTCCTCATCATCAACACAAAGGCGTTTGGCCACAGAGAGGGGAGAGATGAAGGAGCGCCTGGATCTCTTCAGCCTCTCCCTCAGTGAGGCACTCAGCTTCGGTTGATGCTGTGGGGGTGACAGGAAAGAAAATGACTCACAGGGAAAGTGCATGGGCAAGTTTTGATAGTTAATTACAAAAGTTCCTATAAAGTCAACCATCATGCCAGATTATATTATGTAAGACAAATGGTGCTTAAGCCCTTCTAACACCTTACCTTCTCTTTGTAGTCACACGGGCTTGACTCTACTGAACTACATGGTGAACAACAGTCCCTCTGTAATTTAGCTGCTTTAGGTGTGATCTCCATCGCTGAAACTTGCTTTGAATCATGTAAACTTCATAGTTTTGAAGGGTAGTTTAAGTTAGCCAAGTGGATATCGTTAGCTAGGCACTTATCCATTTATCACATTTTAACAGACGCCGCTGAAAAAACAAAACTACTTTCAGCACTTACAGTAAATGAAGGGTTGTTAAATGCTGCTACAATAACCACTGAGCAGCCAACAACTTTCACTAAACGCAGACTGAATCAGAAAGCTAGGACCGACGCGAGACTTTTTCCGTATTTTGCGGCTCGAAACCTTCGCAGTCTGTGATTGGATAGAACGTAATGACGTATTACAGAAACGCATCTTGGGAGCTGTAGTTAGTATAACATGTAAGGCACAAAATGTTCTTTGTGCCTTAAATCCGGTGTTTTCATGATATTTCTCAAACTTACAATAAATCCGTATGATTATATTGACTGGCTCTTCTGCTTTGAGAAAATTATACATGCAAAATTAGTTAAGTGTTCCTAAAAATAATTTTTTTTGAACTTGAAAAAACCTGCTGGAAATACAGGTTACTTACAGTAAAACTAAATAAAGTCAGGTAATTATAAGAAGAAAATTATAAGAAGAATATTAGAGTAACTTATATTTCTCATTAGATTTTAAGGGATAAAGCGTAACATTCAAGAAGTAAGGACTTCCAGTGAAATTAAACTCAACTATGCTGCTTTATAAAATAAAGTGCTACAGGAAATACAAAGTAAAACTGATTTGTGTGGACTGTTGACAGGTTTAGTGCTGCTTGTCATCCTTGTTGCTAGGGTCGAGTCACATTGTGATTCAGCTCTTCTCATCAGTTGATTCATTTCCTTTAATGGGCTTATTTTTAACTCCTCCAGACCGATCCATTCATGGTTTGTTTGGGATGGCGTTCAGATGTTTGCGATCACCTGCTTTTTTTTCTGCTGCCTTGAGGATAAAAAGTGGGAATTAAAACGTGAGGCTGCCTGGACTTGAACTTCAGCACTTGGCAGTCTGATATTACACACCCTAGGGATCTGGGGATTTTTGTCATATTATATGGATGAATGTTGCAGGGCTGAAAGCTGCAGTTAATTACTATGTGTGAGTCAGGAGACAGTTTTCAGTGTTTGTTTTTTTAACTTTTGAAAACTTGACAAAAACTCTGTGCTCAGTCCCCAGCAATATGGGTAGCAACAGAGCCAATGTGAGACAGCGAACGCAGGTGCCATGTCTTTCATCAAATACAGGTGTGCAGGCTGGGCACTCTTAAATATAGACTCTAGCCATGTTTTTGCATGCTATTGTCCCCCTTACTTAAATTATAAGATATGGTCAGCCTTTTGCTTCCCCTTTTCCAGTGGATTAGACGCTACTGGGCTGTGCACAGACTGTCACTTGACTTTGGCTGAAAGGGTGTTTTGTATTTTGGGTTAGTGGGTTATTTTGATTTCACAATCTGCTGTGTGCTGGTTTCCCTTTAATGCGTTGCCAGTGAGCCTCATCTGTAAAACACTTCCTTATCTCCCCTCCAAGGTTTACATAAACAGCACATAAAGACCAGTAAACTACAGTCTGACACAGGGGCCACAATATGGGGACACACAGGTGATAAAAATCACCTGGCTAGCAGCGAACTTGAGGCCTCCTGACATTTGGTGTCACATTTTCCACTCACTTTCCATATTTATCCAAAGAAGGAAAAGGACAGGTGTTATTAATGGCAGCTCCTTTCTGTTTAAGTGTCCCAGTCAGAGTCACAGTGTCTGCAACACTCTCACTGTCACACTGAACGGTATCAGTGCCCTGAAACCCAAGACCTATCTGGACCATAGCCATCAGTAACTTTGATTTACACTTGTTCTTTTCTCCTGTGAGACAGTAAAGTGTCTGCTTGTGAAAAAGGATGCAAAAATAACGTGGTTTCAAAATCAAAGTCAATTTGACCTTTAACCTGCAGTAGCTCAGTGATGGCTGTACGAGTTGGATGACTGTGGTTGTTACGAATCCTTCCTGATGATCCCCCTTGAAATAGCGACGTGTCATCTTTCACTGTCAAAGACTGAAGCAATTATGTTGACCACATAGATCAAAACCCACATTCCTTTTCAGAAATAATAGTCTTTTCATTTTGGAAAACAAAATAGTCCCAAGTGTGTCTCCCTGTGTTAAGGTCATGCTCTTTGTGTTGCTTCTTTTATACAATGAGTTTATTGTTCTGTTTTTCTAATGGTGCATATGATTATAGCCTTCATTTAATGTTCAAATATCCATCCATCCATTTTCTCAACCACTTATCCGGTTCAGCAGGACTGGATCCTGCAGTACTTTCAAGTCATCTACGGATTATATTCTCATTTAACTGCTAAATTATTAGGTCTTGGAAAAGAACTAAACAAAGTTTCCTACAAGAAAATATCAAATCACTTATTTCGTTCAGCAAACTCTCCCAAAACCAAAGAACGGTGCAGGCTATAATCAGAGATGGCACTAGCTGTAGCTGTAGAATATTTGGTGCTTGAAGTATTAATTATAAAAATAAATGGCGGTTATTTTTCTGTAAGTCCGCAGAATCAAAATGTTTACGGCTCAGGAGTTTTACAAGTGAGAAGAAAACCAATAAAAATCAGGAGGTTTATAAATAAACTATTACATGCTCTGTCTCTCTCTTTTAAATTTGCATGCACTTTCTCTGAGCCAAGTATCGTCAGAAGTTCCCTCTTGGTATTTATTTATTATACCGGAGAGGTTTACTAGCTCAACTTAGAGCAAAGCCTGATGTCTGTGCAAAGTTGAACCTCAGCTTTATCTCTTCAAACTCCTCAAAATGCCAAGCCAGTCTGTTGAGGTTTCCCTTAAATCATCTTCTATAGTTAAATATAAATTATGCCAGCAAGAAAAAAAAGTCCATCTTTCAGCTCTGTAAGTGCTGACTCCTTTACAAAGAGAACCAATAATACTCCTTCAGAAAACCTAATTTGTACTATTTTTCTGTCAAGAACATTTAATCATTTATGTGTACATGCCCGGTTATCCTAATAAACCGTGAACAAGATTTTTTGATTTGATTTGATTTGATTTGATTGAATCTTTATTTTGAACATGTTGAAAAAGTACAACAAAATAGAATTAAAAGAGACAAATGAACAAAGCAAAACAAAAGGAAAACGAGCAACCACAACTCCAAATAAAGTTCATGTTCAAAAAGGAGCAGGAAGAAGCATAAGCTTA